AGGGTCAGGACCCTTCGAGGAATCGGTGAAAGGATACGTTTCGCGTCACGTGGATCGCACATCAACATGGAGACTATATTGAACTGTAATTAGAATTTCTTGAAATGTGTTTTCTCCCGGAAATCGTAGGCTTCCTTTGGAGAATAATGATGTAGGAAGAGTTTGTTTAGTTTTTGTTGGAAAGATCTTCGTGTTTAGAATTTGGAGGATTAAGGGATTCACAAGGTCCAGTATTCAAAGTTTGAATGTGGAAAATGGAGATTTAGGGTTTTGGAAGCTGTAGAATTTGTAGCTTCGATACTTTCTAAGTTTTGAAAATGGCAGACCTTACATCGACGATAAGTACATTCCACCTATACTCGTTTTTGAACAAAGAATGCCGACATTATCCTATATTCGAATTTGAATCTAATTAAGTTATCTCCCATTGCAACCAGATTAAAAGAGCTCCAATTCCTATTAAACCTAACATGACACAAAACAGTTCTCCTCTATTTTACGTGTTTACGATAACAAATTATCAGTAAATATAATCTTCGACATATTATTTTCCGTTTCCGAGGTCCGATTTTATCTTCGGTCAACAACAACACGCCGTTTTACCTCGAACAGGGAACAGATAAGTGTTTCCTGTCGTTAAGCCTGATGATTAGGAAGCAAGATTCCCGTACTCTTTTTTCTTCTTATTCGAAGCGCCGCATCCTTAATGACGAGAGTAGCCGGTCACGAGATAGAACATCCTGTGACTCACAGTCATCCGGAATTTTTTGCCTGTCCGTGTTGCAGACCTGAATTTATGGAACAAGAGCATCAGTCAACGATGGAGGAAACTGAGGAGAAGGTGTTCCGTGCAGGAGTCGTCGGAGCCGCAGGAAGCTCTGATACAAGGTGGTACGACCCAGGGGGTCATTCAGGCCGTTAGGTCCAGTCCGGCTAGCAGAGAATCATCCCCGGCTGCCAAGAGTCTTCAGGATGGAAACTCGCCGAAGAAATTGTTGCAGACTAGCTCTCTGAGACTGCCAGGTGATAATTCTTCTCTAACAGCAAAAAAATTTGAAGAATTTCATTTGATTTGTGAACTGTGTTGAATTCAGTTCACTATATTTTTATAGCAGTTGACTACACCTCAAGGTGACTAGAATTATTAAGATAGTTAATTATTAAAGATAGTTTAGTCTATCTATAAAGATAGTCCTTGATGCAACGATGTTCAATAACTCAATCTATTCTGAAATACCTCGATGTCAAATGTAATTTCTATTGATGATGATTGATCTATAGGTACCACCAAGGGTATCGCCGACATTCAACACGTTCTACGAAGCAAATTCAGCAAGATCAACGCCGGGATCCGGAAGAGGAAGGCTCTGAGCGTGACCGAGGTGTTCTCGCAGAAGGACAACGCGTCAAACTTCTACGTCCCCAGTCCCCTAACCTCGTCCACCAGCCAAAACTTCAACGGCGAGTACGACTCCAGCGAGCCAACCTCCTTACCACCGTATCCCTTCCACGACAACCTCGAGACCCTGGCGGAGGGTAGCGTGCCCAACTCGCCGAACTGCAGCAGTCCATTAACCAGCAGCAACAAGACCTTCACGTATTCTCAGAACAGCAGCGCCTACGATTCCCCAGTGCTGAGTCACGATCAGAGCCAAAACGACGCTTACGAGAACGTGTTGTTCACTGGGTCGTCACCGGGTTGTTGTCCAAGGTCCAGAGGTGTGCTGCAACGCAGTAATTCGGAGAACCGTGACGCCTGCAGACACCATCAAGATCACTCGTACGAGAACATGCGGTTCCAGAGGGGTCACAGGTCGGAGTTGACGTCATCGGTCACTCCCAATCCCGACAGACACCTGGCGAGGAGCAACTCCGAGACGAGGGACCACCATTCGTACGAAAATGTCCACTACCAGAAGAACGTGAAGAGCAGGAACCAGTCAGAGCCGTCGTTCGAGGAGATCCACATACCTAGGGTGACGCCCAGAAAGAGATTGACCGACTTCAAGGTGGGCGGGCAGGTGAACAATTATTCGAACGGGTCCGCGTGCATGAACAAGGAAGACGGCCCGTCAAGTTTGGGCACCGAGAAGAGCCCCGGTAAAAAGACGACCAGAAGACTGAACAGCAGAAGCGTCGCTAACATTCCTAGTTCCTCCGGTTCTTGCTTGAAGACCTGGCAAGTAAGTGTTGCACAAACTGGTTTTTGTGGACGATTCGAAAGATCCCGTTTGACTTTCAGGGTGCGCAAGACACGGACGAAGGCCTGAATACCGACTCAGAACTCGAAGACATCGACGAAGCTGGCGAGGGTGAAGAGTCGAAATTCTGCACCCTACCGAGGCCAGGCAAGGGTGGCGCGTCATTCACGATACTGACGGCAAGATTTCTTAAGGGTCCGGGACATAAAGGACTCGGCTTCAGTATCGTCGGAGGGACAGACAGTCCTAGGGGCAATATGGGCATCTATGTGAAGACGGTCTTCCCCAATGGACAAGCTGCGGACCTTGGAACTGTCAAAGAAGGTAAAACGTTTGTTGCAATACTTTTAAATTCTGACATCCTCATGTCGCTATATTCCTGGATCTCCACATATGACCATATCTTCATATTAAGTTTTATGTACTTCTTCACATATTTATTTACTTATATTTTTATACGTATTTGCATCTCTGTGCTCCTATGTTTGTCTGCTTTCCTTAAATTCCTGTATGCAAATCTTCTAACCAAAATCTACCTCTCCATAGCTCTACATCGAACTCCAATTCTTTTATTTTCAAATACACCCCTAATGATTTCATCGATTCTAATGAACGTGTTTCAGGGGACGAAATTTTATCGATAAATTCGAAACCTCTTCACGGCATGACGCACGCCGAGGCGATCGCCGAGTTCAAGTCCGTGAAAGCCGGTGACGTGGTGCTGCACGTCGGACGCCGAGTGAACAAGAAGAAAAGGGACTCGTTGACGCTGCCTCCCGTCAGTCCGACGACACGTCAGCAAGTGAAGTGAACCCGTCGATGATCTCTTCGTATTTTACATTCCGCGCGAACACGTTGCGTTTCCGCTCAGCAGCAAGCCGCTTGAAACGCGCGAGCGAACACCGAAGTCTCGAGTCTTTTTGAAGGACAATAGCATGTGCCACGCAGATGCTTCCTCTGCGCAATATGTCGTTTATTATTGCTGGCAATAATAAGAGCGAGACCAAGTTTTACTCGTGCAGCGTTACGAGCTCTATTCCGTTGCTTGTTTTTTCGCGATGCTTCCAGTTTTTTGATCTTCACGCCTAATGTTTGTAGCGGAGGCAGGTTAATGCGTTCAAAAAAAAGAGATTCATAAGTTGTGTGCGTTTAGCAGCTTCTTGATATGTGGATCATTATTTTGGTGCGATGGTGGATCTCATTGCAGTGCCAAGGTTTGTGAGGAATTCGAGACTTTATTGTTGACGTAACTTAGGCAAAGTTCTGCAAATTAAATTCCTCAATTTTTAAATCTTTAAATTTCTAGTTCTTACATATCTTCAATTTTAGCTAACTTAGCTAACTCTCAAAGTCCGCCATTTTTCAAAACTTTTTATTCTAGTATCTCAAAGATACTTGTTTTCAGTGTTGGGCACCTAGACTACCTAGTTCCTTTGAAAAGCCCTAGTTACGTCAACCCCACATTTCTACTTCCACAAAAATATTTTGTTCCGAGGCGTATTTTTCTTTGATAACTTCGATCGACATAACCTAATTACGAACGAAATCAAAACGATGTATTCCTACTATAATATTCGTATGCTAATCGTTGATGTACCAATTGTATCTATCGATAACTTCTAATCGTTCTTTCAATAATCTCTACGATAAAGTTTGTAAGACCTTCTTCTAATTTTCCTAAACAGAGATTGTATTTTTTCCAAATTTATCAGCGTTTTTAAGATCTCGATGTTGTAATATTAAGAATAGGGGAAGAATACTAGCCGACGATTTATTTTTGTGAAACGAAGTGCGAAGCATCGAAAGATAATCGACGTTTTTTCCGAAGCTGCAATTTGAATGGCCTGAAGGTACGCGCTGTAACAATAATCGCGGACAAGGATCGTATTATTTTTTAACTATATACACATAGAGTAACGATGATCGCCCAAAGATGAAGCCCAAAAATATTTTTACTATCGAATGAGAGACGTGCAAACGGTGAAACGCATATCTATAAATATATGTATAGAACTTATACACACACAATATATTTTGACGGATCGAACGAGACGCGTTTACTTTAAAGCGAGAAATGTTATTAGTATCTAGTCCATCTGTAATATTTTGTTTCGTGGAAAAACTTTTCATTATTGTTCATCTTATTTTGTAGTTATCGGGAAGATAAACGAGAAGAAGAAAAATATATATATTATATATACGGTGATATACATACGATCATATATTTCTTATATCGATTTTTTCGACGCGTAACGAAGCCAACGTGTAAACAAGCGATAACTAATTCATTAATTAGATTGTTAAGGTCTCGATGTTTTCCGACAGCGGAGAAAATAATTCTAACGAGTTTTATTTGAGAACGAACACGTTGGCAGCAAACTTTCTTCGTCTTCCAGGGATCAAAGCGATGTTAACCCTTATGTTAATAATAAAATCGTTCACGGTTATTTTTTATAACTCGGGTATCCGGTACTTAGGTGTTCTATTTAATGAGAACCCTTAGCTCCCTTTCTTGATTGTTGAACATTCAAAGTTTAAATTCTTAAATATTTGTCTTTTCGAATTTCTGAATTGTCGAGTTCCTAAATCTCCAAGTTCCAAGTATTTAGATTCATCTTCAAATTCTCCTGTTCCTAAATTTCTAAAACCCTGAATTTTCAAGTGTCCAGAATTCTAAAGCTTGAAATTGAATACTGCCAAACTTTTCAAGACGAAAATTCCCAAAATTCGAAACTGATTAACCAAAATAAACGGTGGGTCGCCATTTTCTCTAGGGAACCTAAATTTATACCTGACAAATTAATAAATAAAAAAATGACGAAAAAGTCCAAAAATATAAATTTAGTATAAGAATATTCGAATGTCGTATAAATGGATACTTATTTGTTAACACAAGGGTTAATGATGTTAGAATTAGTCTCTCCTAGCGAGAATTCGCGCAAAGGACAGGATGAAAGGATCGAACTATTCCCTTTTCGTTTTATTAACTTTGTCCTGATTACAAAAATACGATTACAAAATTTACCCTGATGATAAAGCAACAGCGATAAACTCGGCTGATTTTCTATCCGATCAGAAGCGCGGTATCGATCGCTCGATTTCATTCTGTCCGATCATTCTTTCACACGATCTACAACGTGCGTACATTATATACGTGTCTGTACACGCGAATAGGTATTACGGTTATTTTTTTATTAAACAAAAAAAAAGAACAACAACAATCTTTGTCGATCGACGACGTGTATACATGTTTTACCGTAAGTGCAACTCGATGTTGTCGCATGCATACGAACTACTCAAAGAAACGTTGCTGTATCTTCTATTTACTATGCGGGGTCGAAAATAATAAATATTTCGCATAATGGACAGGGGAGTTTATGTTCTTTCAACCGGTTATTTTTTTGGGTAAAAAGGTGTCGAGCAATCGCTGGATGAATACGATCTTCAGAGACAAGAAGAGAAAGACAATCACAATTGCGAGAGATCATTCAGAAAGCGCCGTCGTTAGCGTCTGGCATGGGGGATGCTCGAACCCCAATTTCTCAAGTTTACTAATTTACTCTGGAGGTTACTCGAAAATAGGAGAAGAAGAATTAGAAGTTTAGAAGAAAGCGAGATTCAGAAATTTCTACATTTTTGTATTTAGGAAGTTTCAAAGTCCTCAATTTTCAAATTTATGAAGTTTCCACAAGTCCTCAAAATATAAATTTTAGAATTAATATTGAAATGTAAATCTTGATCTAATTTAGAGTCTTTTAAATCTTCAAACGTATACATTTTTGCTTGCTTCATAGAACCTCTAACCTCTAGCATTCAATTGTCAGCGCAACAGTAATCTGACAAGAGTCATGCACCGATCAGTGCTCATCACCGATCACAAATTCAAAAATAATTTTTTTCCCCAAACTCTAGCGACGGCCCTGCAGAGAATACCGACCCAATCGACATTCTCCAATCGACCCAAGATCGACGAAATCGTATTAGCAACGGAGTATAAGACATTCGGAAAGAAGAGCTATTGCCCCTGGTGGTACAGTCTACGTGCGATATCCTAAACTCTACGGAATTATAACGTTCACCCTCATCTTGTCGAATGAAAAAGTAATTCTCTCAGATTTCGTTAACGTGTTGATGAATGTTGTACGCCCGGCCGCCCCGTCTGGACTCCTTAGGCACCACGGCCAGGTGTTCCGGGCTGATTTTCACCTGGTCGACCCTCCTCTCCTCCGAGATTTTCTCAGACAATAGCTCGGGGGGTTTCGAGTAAACGAACGTGGTCTCGGCGCCGTTCGATTGGCCGATCGTCGCTGAACCCTTCAGGATATTATCCTGGGCGCTGAGCAACTGTTTGAACCGTTCATCGTTTTTTTCTTGGTCCCACTGAGCACGGGCGGATCTGGAGGTCGTTGAGGGTACTGCTCGCTGACTGCTCTCTTGATTGCTCTTGCTTAGGTTCAGTTTTGGGTTCAAGTTTAGACCCAGCCATTGGGAGAAGAGGGCTATGCCTTGCTCGGCGCTGGCTGACACTGCTGCTATCAGCTCTTCTGTGTTCAGAGAGTCTTCATCTTCCTCTGAATTCTCGGTCGTTTCCGTCGTTTCGACGATTCTGCGAAGTGAAGTGTAATAGCATTAAATATACCAAATATAGGATTTATATGTATAGGATTGATAGCTGTTTCATTTATAACTGACGAGGTCATCATGGTACTTGTCTAAGAAAAGTTTGATAGATAGACCTTGGATTTAGATGCAAATTGTTTCTGGGATTCGTTAATATTTCTTATGAAAATGCAATGATATTTTCCTTCATAATTTAGTTTAGAGATGTAGTTGGTCTCTTATTCTAGTTATTAGGTATTTTCTAGTTTTCAAATCTCATTCACAAGGGTCGTACTCACGCGGAAGCCTCAACCTGACGCACAACCTGGTTGAAATTGAAGCATCCCATGGGGTATGTGGCTTGCGGTGTTCCCAATAGAGCTGGCTCGATCACCAAACAACCATCGTAACCCGAGTCTGCTGGCTTCATCGACGTGAATTTTGCACATATCTGCGCCAGGTCCGATAGGAGATTCATGCATGTTGGTTTGTTGGAGGCGTCCGCTGTAAAATATCCACATAAAGTAACTTAAAGAACTTTTCACTTTGTATAACTCTTGCAAAGCAAAATCATTCATCCAAAGACAACTGGAATATCATAGAAATTATTCTCTGGCTTTATACATAAAATAGCTTTATGTAGAGAATATACATATATGTATAAGTTGATTTGAATCGTATCAGATTAGCACTCGAAGTGTTAAAACATAACGGGATTTCAACACGTCCTTAAACTTATAATATTAACGAATTCAACAAACTGGTTTCATACTTTCATCTTTCACCTTCACTGAATCACCGTAAGTGAAAAGGTGTAAATTAATCCTCACCGATCTTTATGGTCGCGTTGTGGACGGGGTTGTCACCGTAGCTCAGGTTCAAGGAGACGTTCTGATCCTTCTGTTTGACGTTGATGCAAGCGGGACCGCCTAGGTCGATCGTCGCCGTCAGATTCAGATCGACACAGCACAAACAGTTCGAGGTTTGACACAAGCATTGCGATTGAGGAGCTGTTGATCTACCCACGGCATCCGGCAAGTCCCAGGCCAGTAGCGTCTCTGTTGACGAGGAAAAAATAAAAAGAGTGAGAGAAACTCGGAGAAGAGAAATTGGAACGAAACGAAAGTCGTCGATCGAAAGTCAATGGAAAAAAATATCGCGCGCCGATTTCCATCGGTTCTTGAGTTTTCTCTTGACGAACGTGGCACCGTTCTTTCTGATTAAAGGAAACATTTGTGCAAATATTTGTGTAATTTATGCTGTTGGTACATTTGCCTGCAAATTCTATTTGACTGGAAGGGTAGTATTTGGTCACATATGTACTCCAAGGTTATGCATGCAAAATGTTTCCTAAATTCCTAATTCTACGTTTTGATATTTTGATGTCAAGTCTTCTTGACGTCAAGGCTTCAAATTTCTAAATCTTGAATTTGTAAAATTCCTACTCGAATTCTCCCTACTCTCTGAATCTTCAAATCCCCAAATTTTATGTGCATCCTGTCTTTAAACTCATTAGCAAGCACTTGATTATTGATTGAAGTCATTAAGAAACTGAATGATAGAAATAATTAAAAACAAAGACGTTTGTGTTCATAATTAACGTCAATTTACTAACCACATAAATCTTCCCTTTACACTAAATCCTCATACTTTGCCAGCTACCGTTTCACCTTCTCTATTTATTTCAATTTACAATTTTTAATAAAGAAACAAAGGCTAACACGCGTTTAGCCGGGGCGTAAGTGTGCCACGCGTCGATGAGTCAGAAAGATGTCCATCCACGAACTTTCTCGGCGTTACTGGGACATCATCGAAACTATCCGGTGCACTGCAATAAAATCACAAATAAACGCACGCGTCCTGTCAAAAATGTCGGCAGGAGGGGGTGTCGATTATCATGCAAAGGATGCTATCCAAGCACGAGCCATCCGGACAGGTTTCGATTCGTTAAGCACGTTCCGCGTGACAGAAGGATGCTGCAAAGGAGGCTTGAGGAACGTTTCCACGTGAGCGTAACTGATCTGCTCACCGAGCAATCCTGCGGAAGACACCACGGCGACGGTGGTCAGCAACACCAGTATCGTGCACCTCGCAGTCATCGTTGTTCCGACGATTCGGTTGTGAGGTATCCTCCGAAGTCAGGCGTCGTTCACCGTCAAAAAGGATATACGCACGTCGGAGAAGCTGGAGATCCTGACCAGCAAGGAAGAAGCTTAAATCTGGCCACAAAGCCGGCCGCGGGTCTCGGATCGACGATCGGTTGGCGGTCGGCACGAAAACTGGCGACAGGATTGGCCACGGCGACGATGAGGTGCCACGCCATTGGCCGAGGTGCGGAGGTAACAACGGGCAAGGAACCTCATCTGGGTGACCGGGTGACCTCCTTCGGCAACCTGGTACCAAGAGGACTTACGCGACCGTCCTATCTACCTATGTTCGATCTGCCCAGAGGACAAAAAATACTCTTTTTTATTTTCCACGTTATTTACCATGCGAGTAAAAGCAATTTCCTTCTCGTTTTTTTTTGTCCGGCCTCCTTTTTTACTTGTCCTCGCTTTTAGGGCTCCGATGGAATTTTGTTTCTGATAAAAGTGAAAATTTGCTGATGCCGTTACGTGCATCGATTTGATTTACAAAATAGGAGAACGTGTCTGGTTTTTTTAAGTCCGCGTGTTGTTAATGGCTTATCTAGGCATCGACATGTCGGTTTAATGAAAAAATTAGCATAAAGCACTTTTTCTTTTTTTTGATGCTTCGGTTTATTGGCTGAAGAAAGTCTTCTAATCATATGATGGAGCCTTATACACCTATGATTATACAAGATTCTCAAGATTTTATTAGATTTTCAAGATCCTTGTACATTTATTTCGTTTATGGTACAGCTGAAGTTTAGTTTCAATAAAATCTAATTCCAAATAAACATGTCTTTTGCATCTTAAATTTCCAAATATTCAAATTTTTAATAGAAAGATTCTTTTAAATAATTTCTAACTCCGCAGCACCTTCAATCAACGCAAATTATTACGTAGATATTAAAAAAAGGAAAGAGCGTGATGCTCGCGAGAAGTTCGTAATGACAGTAATGTATACAAGAGCGTGTTACTTTTTCTTCGTTTCCTGTCTCTACCGGCAATTATATTTTCATCGAATGCATCGAATGCCTTCTTTTTCTCCCTCACGGTATGAAAATCTCGAAAGGGGAAGGAAAAGCGTATGCTTGGTTGGACATCCGCAACAGGGAATTATCGTTACGGTCGGACACCTGGCAAAGCGTGCTTTTTCATAATTATTATCATCTTTTGCAATAACACCAGAAAACGTTATGCAATTTACCGGGCGATCGTCATTTGCACGGTACGTCGAGCGCAAAAATTGAAAGGATGATTTATTAAAGGCCCTGGATTGATCGTCCAGCATGGATTACGGTTCCAAAACGGGATTCACCTTCGAAACAAACGATCCCGTGACGTTACGTAAAAACTCGTTTCCCCGTGGTGACCCACATCCTCTTCATTTATATACCTGGCCAGATTATTTAGAACCCTCGGGAGTACCGCTTTATCTTAAAATACACCGTGCATCATCGACGTATGGTAATTGTCCGGCGACCCTTTGGACAGCTGAATTCCATCGTGGAACCTTCATCCTGTCGGGCAAGTATTAACCAAGGTAAACCACTTCTGACCACTACTTTCTTCGACCCACTAACCGGAGAAAGGCCCCCACTTTAATCACCAAAACACGCGTCCGCCTGGAGACATTGAGGATCAAAATCCGGACATGTTTGTTTGCCTTCGTTTCCGCGAAACTTAGCAAACATTGACTATCGACTTGAGGTCATCACTGACCGCAATTTAATTCGACGTTTCCAAATTCGAAGTTCAAGAAGCTTGAGAACAATTGTAATTCCAGCATATTGCTTTCACTAAGGTTGGACCTAGTTCGGTCGTTGCATACGGGACCAACGACCAGTTTGAAGGTCGGTGAAAAGTCCGCGGTAATTGTAACGTGGACGTAAAAGCGAGTTGCACGTCCGATGAATGATGAATTTCCGGCACGCTCATTGTGGATGCATGGACACTTCGCGACCATGTTGTTTTATGGCGATAGAAATTGCCGTGAAGTGGGACTGGTTATTAGAACGCTCGAAGTGTCTGTAATTAACCCAGCTATGAATCTGCTCTAAAAACCTGTTATAGTCGAAAATAAATCATTCAAGCAACAAATTTCCAGACTTCATGTAGGAACTTATAAAAATGGACATCTGGAAGAATTTCAAGATATAAGAATTTGAGGACATAGAGACTTTGTCAGATAGAAATTTTGAGAGGTGTCGATTGTATGTAACGTAAAAGTTAGAGGACATCGACATTTGTGGACGTAGAGGTTTGGAGAGTTGTCAAATCTTCATGTAAAATGTGAAGATTTGAGAACAAGTTAACACAGATACTTAGACATACAGTTTGGAAAGGAGATTTTGACGGGCATTTGTAAATGTAGAGATACACGAGTATTCAGTGATACAGTTCGAGAGTAAAAATGTTTCATCGAGAATCGAATCAGGTACGGTCCGAACTTGACCTCCTGGTTCAAGGCAAAATCGAAAAGCCACTTCCGTTCGAGGATACGAAGGAAGTGTTCCTGTCGAAGTTTAAGCAAAATCCATGGTGGGGAATGTTCGTTTTATTTACCTAGAGCGTATTAGAATGCTTAATAATCGTAGCCGTCGGTCGAGGCCGGTGGTGGTGGCCTGACCGACTTTTAAAGAAACCTTGGGGGGAGTTGGGCGGCATCTTCAGTTAGACATTGGCCTCCGTAAGACGAAGAGTCGGAAAAAACAGCAGAAGGGTGCGACGAGAAGAGACTATCATCAAGGATCTTGCTTGTTTTACTTTGCAACTTCTTCTTCTTCGTTCCACAGGTCAGTTGAAACTAATTTGACCTTGGCTCTTGATGTTGTCAGGTAACTTACTCTACTAACATCTCCAGAAACCACGATTTCTCGCCGTGTTTGAAATTAGCTAGTTTGAACATACCGGCGCGTACGGATCACCGTTTCTCGCGACGTGATCGTATAATGGCGACCATAAACACGGCACGAATATCGCGCGCGTGCTCGGTGAATCGCGTGGTCGAGAAACGGTGAACTCTTCGGGAGAGACGTCTTTGACCGTGACCAGGATTTAGGTCAACCAGTCGCAGACGAGAGATTCCTGAGCTGGCGCGAGTCTGTCGGCCGAAACCGAGGAAAAAGTCGTTCCTCCCACGTGCTCTGCTCGAAACGATTGCTCCGTCGAAAATCGACCGGGTTTCACCCTTTCGTCACTATTCTTGTCGTTAACGAGCGTGAACAACGCATTGTTTATGGTCTTTTACATCCGCTCTGGCTGCGTGACAAACCGCGGTTCCTTTAGTTTTCCTGTCTCGGAACTCATTTTCGAAAGCTGACTCTGTCTGCTTCAAAACTGACTTTCGAAGTTGAAGACAGGAATTGAAATGGTGGATGTCTAATTATTGACGTAATTATTGACTTAACATCTGAAGATCGAAATCTTTGTTGGAGCTACTTTCTGACTTCCTTAATTGTATAACTCTAAAATCCTCGACTAACATATTTCTGAAAGTTCAAACTCTTATATCATCAATTTCTCAGAAGCTCTAATTTTGAAGATCACAAATGTCTCAATCCTTGAACTTACAAGGTTACATTTCAAAGTCATCAATTTCTCTGTTCACCTCATCGTCCTCACAGTGCTCTCTCAAGTCTTGATTCCACAGCTTCGAACAAACCTTAAAATAATCTGAATTTCAGTGACAATGTACGAATCTTAAAATAATTTAAACTTCAGCAGTACTTACCGTGGAGAGTAGAATGTAAATAGCACACGCGTGTCCCTGCATACACTATGAATATAACCTCCTGAATTTATTTTTTAAACATTGCATTTCAGAAGGAATAAGATGCGGCTGTCAGCAGTGGTCGAGTTGTTGCTGATTTTCCTCCTGATCGCGTTCGCAGCATACGGTCGAGTGATCGGTAAGGATTTTTCCGACTTTTATCACGCTGTTAACGTCAATCTCACATAATGAGTCGTAAGTAACCACAAACGACAGTTTCCTCGAGGAAACGTAGATTGAAGATTGACGTTGATTTCGACACTTAAAAATTGCCTTCATGTTTTGCAAACGTTCAAATTTCCTGCTTTAAGAAATAACATAGCGTGAACACGTCCGAACTCGAAGAAGGAAGTATCTAACGATTAAAATTATTCCGCAGAGCGAAACGAACAAGTGGTAGAGCGAGCGATCGGGAAAGTGAATGGATCGAAGCAAAGTCACCTTGGAGTGTCGACACTGTCATTGAAACAGGCGACGGACAATGTCAATAGATACTGCACTTGCAACGAAAACATCTGCAATTGTTGCAGAGACTTCCACATACCGTTGGTGCAATTACAGGGACCAGGTGAGCTAATTAAACGTAATAAAACTCAGCGAGGAGGAAAGATAACAAACGTTACGTTACACTTACGCTCCTAATTGTATGCGTCAGATGAGCAATTATGTTATTCGTTTCAGGATGCGCATCCTTGCAATATCTGCAAGGAGACAATTTGGCGGTTCAGCTCAGTTTTGGGGACAACATTTTAACCAGTACCATTGTTAACGGTAATTGCTAAGCAAATGTGAATTTGCAAATTTTTTATGTAAATGTAAATTTGCACATTTTTTAAGTATATGTAAATTTGAAAATTTTTTAAGTAAATGTAAATTTGAAAATTTTTTAAGTAAATGTAAATGTACAAATTTGTTAAGTAAATGTAAATTGATAAATTTGCTTAGAAAGTATAAATTTGTTAGTACATGTAAATTTGTTTAGTAAATGAGGTTTTTAATTAGTACGTTCATAATGAACCAATTGATACAACATATATCAAACGTTTACCCAGCAAAAATAGAATAAATACTTTTTTCAATAATAAACTTGCAACTTCAGGAAAGAGCCCGAAGCCCGTATGCGTCCCCTTACCAGGAGGCTTCACGAAATTCTGTGGTAGAATCTACTCCATCAAACGTGACGCTAAGGATCACTTCAAAGCGTGCCTCGGCCTAGAATTACAGTCATCGACCGAAATCGAGGCTAGCCTACGAGTTAGCTGCTTCAGGTACTTCATAATCAAGACTAAAAGTGATTAAAAAATAAAACGCGACTTCATTTGCCAGATTTGGTCCTGACGGTCTCAAGCTGCGTCCAGCGGAGCCACTTCCGGTCATCGAAGCGGAGGTGCCTGAGGAAGAGGACGACGACGACTTTTTCGGTTTAGGATCAGACGACGATGACGAAGACGATGCTGAGGAGGACTCACCGTTAGCGAACTCCGTGCCGAACTCTTCGGCGGAAGAAGACGATGAGGAGGAGGAAGATGAGGATATTCTGGGATTTGGAGCTTTGCTGGATATCATAACAGGCGAGGAGGAAAGCACGACGAAGAAGCCTAAGGTCACCACAGCCGCGCCTTTGCTGCAGTTTACTATTCCTCTCCTGACGAAACCGACGTCTGCACCTGTGGTCCCCATAGTCGAAGAGGGTGGCGAATTTTCCGAAGAACAGAACGAGACTCCGCTACTGAGCGTGGAAGAGAGCAACACGGAGGAAGAAATCGAATCGGTTACAGAGGTAGCCAGCGAGGAAATCATCTCGGAGTCCTCCAACAAGGTCATCTCCGTCGCGAAACCGGAAAAGGTTCCTACAAAGAAGGTCACATCTCCGGAAACGATCAAGAAGAAGCCAACGATCACCAGCAGCAGCATCAACGCGATTCAGAGCGACAACAGCGAGAAGAAGCCGCAGAAAGCGAAGCCCGTAAAGGACGAAGAAGATGAGGATCTGTTAGACGATGATCTGGACGACGATGACGACGAGGATGAAGAGCTTTTAAACGATGACGAGGACGAGAAGGACAGCGAGGAGGATGACGAGAAGGTTGAAGAGGCTGAACACGAGGACGAAGACGAGAAATCCGAAGTCGAAGAATTGGACGACGATGACGACGAAGAGGACGCTGTGATCAGCGCGCTCGTGTACGACGAGAAGGAAGACGGGAAGAAGAAGGGCAAAGTGAAGAATCCACAGACTTCGGAAGCGGAGGACGACGATTTGGATTATGGACTGGGTCTTTCTGGTCTTCTTGCCAGGCACTCGAAAAGCAGCCGTCAAAGCAAAGTGATGAGGCTTTGAATTTTGAGACAGTCCCATGCTAATTGTAGAATGAACGAGGTCTTTTCATTGTTCGAGGCTTTCTTTAACATTGTCGAACACGTTGGTCAATAGACCGAATCATGGAGACTGATTTTTTCTTTCGTTTTGGTATTTGACACGTTTGAATTTCGAGGAAAATTTGGGGGAGATTTTCAGATACGCAGATTAAGTCCATTTGTCCATAAAGTATGACACTGACAATGAACGTGTTAGATATCAAAATAAGAGGACCATTCGAGTTGAAAATACGAGTAACCATAGGTTGCTACCTTAAGCCATATGAAATTGCTCGAATCGCATTTATTTATTTGTACCTATTTAATTAATTTATTGAAACCTGTAATTAAATGTGTGAAATAAACATGTTTACTAAAAGTGTCGATTAATTCCGTGGCCTTGTTATCGATCGAGGTAATTGCCGACAATTTTGAAAACATTTGTACTACAAGTGGCACAAGTGTACCTGCGTCACATTCGTCAATTATTGACAATCCCATTGATCCCACCGATCTTGCTTTCTATTGAAAGCGTATGCATAATTAATGAGCCAGAAACGTAATATTATGGAACGATCGCAACCCAGTTTTCAGTCTTCGGAAAGAACCGATCGACGACGGATCAGCTTTCCGGTTTCTCTTTGTGTCACGCAGCCATGTCGACTAAAGCATTCGGTGTACTCTTCCTGCTACTGGCAGCACAGAACCTCTGTGATGCCGCTCTTCTTCCTATGGACAAACTAGGTAACACGTAATTTAATATTTAAAAGAATAATTTTTTTAGTAGCTATAATATCGAAGAATGGTTCAGTAAAATAGTTTCAGTAAAAATGAAAATGTGGAGGGTATCTGACTTTATGATGCTCAAGAATTAATATTTATCTGTTTCAGATAAACTCATGCCAAAAAATTTATCAGACAAAATATCTAAGAACTTAAATAATGCGATACCTAAAGATTTATTAGACAAAGTACCTAAGAGCTTAGATAATGTCGTACCTAAAGATTTATTAGAAAAAGCTAAATTGCCGAAAGATTTAGGTAACAACACATTACCGAAAGATTTAGGTAACAACACATTACCGAAAGATTTAGGTAACAACACATTGCCGAAAGATTTATTAGGTAACAACACCTTGCCTAAAGATTTGTTGAGTAACCTACCGAAAGATTTACTGGGTAACAACACATTGCCAAAAGATTTACTGGGTAACAACACATTGCCAAAAGATTTACTAAACAAACTTCCAATTGACAAAAATCTGTTGAATAAAACATTGGGTAAAATCCCACTGAACTCCACCTACTTGGACCCGAAAACTGGACAGAGTCTGAAACAAGCATTGGAAAAATCCAGCCAAAACCCATTGGGACAATTGGTTTCTCGAGGACTCGGTTGCGAATGTGTAAAAGGGCTGTGCAACTGCTGCGTGGGTCTGAGTTTACCGTTGATTGATGGTCAGAAATTCTGCTACAAACTCGAACTGGTTCCAGAAGATCTTGAACTTAAGACAGCGCTCAGCTTGAACGACAAGCAACTTGTGGCGAGCACACTTACAGGTAAATTATTTAATTCTATCGGTTTTATTAAGTGTTTAACTATTTTCTTTTATTTATTTTAACTAAACTTCTTGTACAATAAGATTGTATTACAGTAGGAATTAAAATAGGATATACGTTTGTATGACACATGTGTTGACATACATTTAATATGCTGAAGTAACACATGTGTTAAAATGCATGTATATTAAAATATATAAGAGTATACATGTATGTTGAAGTATGATAAGAAATGACATATGTATTTACATAATACATTGTGTCATTACATACATATGATATTACATATGAATGTTATTACATACATATATTATCACATATGTTATTACATGCATATATTATCACATATATTATTACATGCATATATTATCACATATGTTATTGCATACATATATCATCACATATGTTATTACATACATATATCATCACATATGTTATTACATACATAAATTATCACATATGTTATTGCATACATATATCATCACATATGTTATTGCATACATATATCATCACATATGTTATTGCATACATACTATATCATCACATATGTTATTACATACATATATTATCACATATATTATCACATATATTACTACATACATATATTATCACATATGTTATTACATACATATGTTATCACATATGTATACATGTATCAATAAAACAAAATAGCTTTTAATACACATATATGTAATCGCCTAACAATTTCAACAAGATAAAGAACAACTCTAATTCGACAAGTAGCTTCACACAACTTAAAAAAGTTCAAGTACAAAAAATTAATTTATTACAGGAAAGAACCCACCACCATTGTGCGTACCTCTTCCTCACCTCAACGCAGTGACCATCTGCGTCCGAGTCTACGATCTCGGCATTGTCGGACGTAACCTGAAAGGATGCGTCGATTTGGAAACTAGATTAATCAACGCCCCAGTCTTCTTATTGCACTTCGATTGTATGTCAATGGGATTGGACGGATTGTCTTTGTCGAAACCTGGAAGTTCAGAGGGATTGAACTTGCCGAAACCTCAGGAAATCATGCAGGAAATTTACGACCACGTGAACTTTGAACCGAATAAACAAGAAGATAACAACGACTCTTCCTCGTCATCGGATGAAGACTCTCAAGTTGGACAGTTGAAATATTAAATGTTTCGACTGTTTATTTAAATATTTATTTATGTAGTTAAATTATTATTAGCATGCTATGATAATTGTGATCAAAGTTAGTGTAAAATAAAATGATTTAAAAAATGAATAGTGCTATTTATTTTATGGTTGCCTCTGATAATATAATTGTCTAAAATTAATATGAGAATTTGTTATATTATGAGGGGTTGCAGAGGGTGTTAAATACTTAGAAGATTGTATCTCCATGTCATCCGATTCAAAATAATTAAAATTAAAATAAAATAAAATGAAGTAAAATTTCCTTTTTCGACATGGAATACTAGAACTTTTATATTTGAGAACCTTGGGGTTTCAGAAATAACTTACGAATTTACTTCTGAAATTTGGACCTTTGTTAGAAATTTTGGAGCTTCATAAAATACATCAACGAATTTTTCATATAGTACTTAATATTAATACTCTTCACATAATTTGAACAGTACTATTAGGATGTGATCGATCACTTGAAGCAATATATTGGAGATCTCTCAACTACTCTTAATGCTAATGACGTTTCAATGACGTATACAGTTAAATCTCCCTAACTGTACTTGTTGAACTACCCCTGTAATTCTGTACGGCTACCCCCAGTTACCCCTTCCTGTTCCAAAGCCCTATATAAAACCCTCGTACATCCAGCCCTTGTACCTTCAGTGCAGTAATAGAGCCTTCAATACGACTGTAGAACCCAAAAGTTAGCACCATGATGTCCAAAGCTCTCAGTGTCTTCCTCCTACTCGGCAGTGTGCAGTACATCTATGGTTTTAACAATGAAACAATTGACGTGGAATGTCCGCAAGTACAAGGTAAAATCACCTAAAATCGACAGTAAAATTTAATATTTAATATTTTGTAACTTATGATTAAGTTAATCATACTTTTTTTACGTAGGTGAGGCTCGCACCAACTTGGTTTTCATTCATCCAGACAACGAAACTCCATTAAAAGCAAGATATGTATTGCTTCCGGCTTATTGCACAGATATAGAATACCTAGCATTCCGAGGTGTCGCTTGTGAATGTGAACATTTTGCCTGTCAGTGTCGCGTGGGTCTTGATGCGCCATGGTTACGTGAAACGAAAGGGTGCATCACAACAAATTACATACCGGAGAATGAGACTATTGAGGTTACGATGAAATTCAACGAGACAGAAGTACTGTCAAGAATTGTGCCTGGTAAGTTTTGTAACAGTATCTTAGTTTTTAATAACTCATAGTTAACTTTCATTAATTACACATAAGTTATATATTTCTGTTACGAGTGAATTTTCTGTTATTTTCAATATTTCTTTCTGTTTACTTTCAATATTTCTTTTTGTCACATTGACATATTCTGTTATTAATGTAGCAGTCTGTCTTTCATACATTTGTTCTTAAAAATTAACATTTGAAGCATCGTTTAAATGGATATTTTTAATCTGTTGCAGTTCGAGATTTAAAACCCGGTGTAGCGCTCTGCGCGAACATTCCTTTCGCCAAAGATGTTAAAGCCTGCATTACGAACCCTAGATTCCAAATTATTAAAAATAATTTGAGGGCATGTATCAGTTTGTCGATTGAAAAATTAAACACGAAGTACTCTGTGGTGGCCTTTAGATGCTTTGAAATGGGACCGGGTAAACTCCCCGAATCGGTTCCTGGATTAACTGATATCTTGAATCTGCCGTCATCGAAAGAAAATAATCAAACTGAATTAAACCACCATGAGAATCCCAAGTCCAAGGATGAATAACGTTCATGCATGATTTGAATAAAGCTTGAAATAATTTGAATATTTGAATAAAGACTGAAATTAGAATTGTAACTCAATTGTAACTTAGTAGTAGGTTATTTTGTATTGTAATTTCAATAGGTCATTCAGTACCAGTTTATGAGCTTTGTATTTTTGGTGATAAAATAAAATGTCTTAGTAAATAAACAATGTTCTTCACTTTATCTTCCGATCCAACATATTCCTTCGATACCTTACCTGTCATAAAGTTATCAGTAAATAATGAAATGAATAAATTAGCAAAATAATGAAAAGTACATCTTTGTGTAGTTAGAATCTGGACATTCGAATTGTAACACGAGTTGCACCATTACTGGATTCAATGACATTTATTGATTATTGACATTTTTTAATTATTTAAAATATTTAGCGTAGTTTTATACTGACCAATTTTAGCTGTAATTTCTTATGCGAATGAAGTCCAACAATAAGTAATACATAATTTTTATTAAATATCTGAATCACTTAAAATTTAGCTTCTGAAGTTTTAGTGTAAGTTCTAATTGCCTATACAGTGTGAAAGGATTCCCCCATTTTTCTGCCGTTAATGACGCCTTAATGACCTTCATACCTACACCTGAATCCTAATTTGCTAAATCCATTTCGTAAGCCATTTCCAATTGTATCTCTGATATCATAAATTGTATGAATTTCTATCTAATGAATGGACTGCTTTAAATAATTAAATATGTTGTCCATAATTTGAGCTACATAAAATTTCTCATATATGCTGTTGTTATTTCAAATAAACAGTACCTGTTTGTACTTATTTATATAACTTGCTGAATACAGAATTAAATATGATTTAATGCCATGTATATTATGAATTAATTTATTAACTTTTGACAATTATTTTTGATCGTGAATATAAATATACTAACTGCAAGTTTGTAAAAATATATAAACTTCAACAAAACTCTCAGATTAATTTAATGATTACATTGTACATATAATATGTCTGTATTATACATATATTCTGTATGAACATACAACAACAAATATGTGAAACATATACGTAAAAATGAAAATAAAAATTAATAAATAATATAATGAATGTAACAATGCAGTTGGTATCACATACAGCAACAACAAGTACGTGAAACATACACGTAGAAATAAAAATAAAAATGAATAAATAATATAATGAATGTAACAATGCAGTTGGTATCCAACAAAGGTATGAAACATACACATAAATATTAAAATAAAAATAAATAAATAATATAATAAATGTAACAATGCAGTTAGTATCCAACAAAAACATGAAACATACACATAAAAATAAAAGTAAAAATAAATAAATAATATAATGAATGTAACCAGTTGGTATCGCATTGCTGTCCATCCCAGAACTAAAAATTCCAAGTCAAAAATATTCAAAAATTCAGACTTCACTAATTTCGCCACAATACATGTCTTCAGGGTGCGAACATAATGACCCAAGATTATCGCAGTGATACCCCTACCCCATAGTCATTATTTTGATAGTTTCAGCCCTTAAGCAAAATGTCCATCTCCCTCTTTTTTCAAAATCCATGTATAAAAGTCCCTCAAGTTAGGAATTTGGCATCAAACAGTTCCTGTGATCCCATCACAACAGTCTTCAAGTACAATCAGCTTCTGTTTCTTCTTTGGAACCACCATGATGACCAAAGCTCTTGGTGTTTGTCTGCTGCTCGTTGCTGTGCAGAACCTCTGCGCTGCTTATTCTATTCCCGAGGGTCTCGTTGGCGCTGATGGTAAAGTATTATTTAAAATAATAAGATCTATTGAAAGTATTGTTTGAAATTATTACATATTAAAATAATTACTTCTGTCAAAAGTATCATTTGAAACTGAAACTTGAAACTGAATCTTGAAATAACAACTTCTATCAAATATACTATTTGAAACTGAAACATCTTGAAATAACAACTTCTATCAAATATACTATCTAAAACTGTAACATCTTAAGTACATCTCAATAAGTATTATTTGAAACAGTAACATCTTAAAGTATTATCTGAAACTTCAACGTCTGACTACATCATGGTACTCAAAGATCACACATAATATTTAAAACAGTAAAACATCTTGGAATATTATCTAAAGCTTCAACATCTGACTATACGATGATATCTGAAGATTAATCATACTTGTCTCATGTACAGTTCTATCTACGCCCAGCCTGCACTTCACGAACCTAGACACCGGAGTCGCACTAGATGGACATTACAGCACCGAAATCTCCGATTCCCATGAAATTCAGGTATTTTCATTCCGAGGAGTGGGTTGCAACTGCAATAAATTGACCTGCGAATGCTGCGCTGGTATCGATGTATCATGGCTGCCTACTACCAAAGGCTGTATCTCAATTGTTTACCTACCAGGCTCCTCTGCCGTTAAAATTGCACTGATATTGAACAACAAGGAACTCATCTCCAAAACTATTTCTCGTAAGTGTACTTCATACGTATATTCTGTGCATAACATTATTCCTATATTATTGCCTCTCAAATATATTTGCAATATATTTGCCTTTGAAAATTTGAAAGAAGACATTACATTGAAATGAAATTGAAAGCCAATGAAAGAATACGAAATTTTAAAAAATCACTAAACAGTGAAATTAGAGTTTGTTTGATCGTCGACAGCTTTGTAAATGAACTTTATTGTTTTATTGCAGTCAAGAACCCAATTCCACTGTGCGTTAGCATTCCCTACGTACCTGGCGGTAAAGTGTGCGCCCTAATTCACGACATCGAAGTCGTTGCAAACAAATTGAAGGCGTGTGTCAATATGGAAGTCCGCCTATTCGGCTCCACTGTCGTCAAAATGGAATTCGATTGCTTCCATCTTGGATCAATCCCAGTAGCTGATGAGTACCTGCCGATGCAGCCTCAATTCTATCCGGAACTGTACTCCCAGAGCAACCGTACTGCCTTGCAACAGGAGGATCAATAACACGGTGTTATTAAGATTAACTTGTCATAGACTGTTTGTAACTTTATTATGGAATATGAATAAAATACTTTAGCAAATATGTAATGTTTTTTGTATTTACTTGGGATTCGATTTAGAGTTAATGATGATTTGTTCCTTTGAACATATCCTTTCTTTACCTTGATATCTGTCCTGGGACCAATCGCAGGACCAATCCCTAGCACTAATAGTACCGATGACCGACAGCACTGTCCAATTGCGCAAAAGTAATTGTGTAAAATTGTATAATTAGTAGATCGACTTTAAGTCAGTGTTTGTTCCATTTCACTTTTATAATTTGCAACTTTGCAATTTTCAATTTCAAGAGTTTAAATTTTGTAATTACAGAAGTTTGTGAAACCTTGTAATTTTGCAATCTGAGGGATTTGAAACTTGAAACTCCTGGAACTTAAAATTCTGAAACTTTATTAATTTGCAACCTCAGGCTTTGGAAGCTTGTGACTCAGATGTTTGGGAGAGAACCTGCTAACGGAGTGAATAGGTTACGATTTTAATATAATGTGTTATTATTAATTTATTCTGATTTCAATATTTTTGGATAACGAAAAAAATTCACGTCGCCAAATCGGCAATGTCAAGGCGGTCACATTGAACCGGTTTCGTCAAACCGGTTTTGCTAAACCAGTCTCCTCGTGATCTGTTTCAAACATTTTCAAATTTTTGTAAACTATTAAAGATTGGAACGATTGTTTTCTGAAGTGTGTCTCACAAGGATGACTTGTTAAATCTAGCTCTAGAGTATCAAATCTGTTCCTACGTCTATTATTAAATTTATTCCTACATCAAATTCCTAAATCATATTCCTACTTCAAATCAGTTCCTAAATCTATTGTCAAATCTATTCCTACATTTGCTACTGAATTTGCTTCTCAAGTTAGATGTACAAATGTTTAGTTACTGAATGAACACTTTGAAGATTTAAATGCAAGGAATTGGAAGTGAAGTTGAATTAATTAAAGCCTGCTTTCAGGATATATATACGTACGTTGATGAATCATGGTTCAGACTTGAGGACATAAATTGTGATATTCCTAATATGTCTCATCCTATTAATTTTACTTTCCAAACCAAATTTCCACTTTCTCAGTTGAAGACACACCTATAAAGTCACTTCAGATAGTGTTCAAATAATAGAAACTTCTATAATGTGGATGCAGTGTCTTCAGACACAACTGGTTCTTGCTCTCAAAAATTAAAGAATAAAAGTTCTAACTCTCATCATACTCTTCTTGACCATTTAACCTTCCTAACCAAAACCTCTTCAATGTACTTTACAATGAAATCAATGAATTAAATACCTCTGAGTAACAACCCTATAACCAATTCAGGTATATTCACGAGAAAATGAGATGCGTATGAGCAGCCAAAGTGAATTTCTCCAGCAAACGAGGTCAGACCGAGAACGTGACCAGTCGAGTTCCGATCGTTCACCAAGAAGCATCCTCCAATGTCCTGCTGAACCCGCCAAACACGCGAAATGCGAACCCTGTTACTCATCTTCGCGATTCTCTGTGTTGGAGACTGCACGCAAAAGTTCAACGATAGTGTCATCGATTCGAAAGAGATTTTTTTGACCAAGGATGCATTCCGGATAAAAAACAGAGAGTTAACCCTGAAGAAGCTGCAGGAGTTGCTGAAGCAAGCTAGTTCCAGCTCGAACTCCACTGGCGAGGTGACCGTGACCAGACAAGGTCCCTGCAAATGCACAGGAAGCGTCTGCAGTTGCTGCTCCAGAATTCTGTTCGACACCTGGAAGCAGAAGGCTTGCATGAACGTGACGTACGATGCGGACGAGTTCAGCTTCACTGTGAACATCATGATGAACGACAGAGTTTTGTTTACTAGAACTGTCTCTGGTAGGTGGATCGATGTGTAGTAAATTTTATTAACTTAGTGTTAAAAGGTCATCTGACCCTTTACAAGTTTTTCGTTTTAACTTAATAAATTTGTTAAAACAATTTGCTAATTTTTTAAGTATTGAAGAATTACACAACAGTCAAGTACAGATCTTTGCTAGTTTTCATGAAGATACAGAATTAATGTTTTATTATTTATTTATTTTACAACTTCATTTTTAATTTCAGAGTACAGTGTGCACAGTAGGTTTAGTGTTAAATAACCGAATTCATTTTAGGGAAGAATCCTAAACCGGTGTGCGTGTCGATACCGCAGTTACCGATCATCAAAGCCTGCGTTCGTTTTTATAACATATACTTTGTTGGAAGAAACATCCACATGTGCGTGAGCATGGAGGGAGTCTTTCAGCAGACAACGGTATTTAATGTAAGTCATGTAGTAAAGGTGCAAAGGTTTTGTATTAGAGTACAAAAGGACTGAGTTTTTTTTAGGAATAATGTTTTGATTGTAGCTTGGATTGGACTGCATTAGATTCGGTGTTAATGGAGTCGCTGTGGTCAAACCTGAGGACGGAGGTGGACTCATGCAAATACAATTTCTACCTGGTGATAACGGTGATAGGGTGGACTATGATTATGACAGTGAGGATGAATGAAACGACTTCAAAAAATGACATGATTTAAAAAATGACACGACTTCAAAAAATGACATGACTTCAAAAGTGACAAGATTTAAAAAAATGATACGACTTCAAAAAATTACCCAACTTCAAAAAGTGACATAATTTTAAAAAATGACAACTCTGAAGTCCGTTAAAATATTTTTAATAATTCACATAAAAGACTGAGGATACTTACAAAATTGCGTTACAACACTAGCCATTTATTACAGTGAACAATTTCTGTAATGATACCTGTCGAATAAACGCATTTTTCACAATATACCTATTGATTTCCCTAGTACATTATCGTTGACGACTAATTGCTAACGATCTTAACAACTATTTGTCTTCTTGCTTGTCACAAGCACACATTAGCAATACAAGTGGTGGTATCTTGTCTATTGAAAAATTATGCATAATGGCCACGAAATATAACCACGCATTTCGGCGCAAATTCAGTTTCCGGGGATCGGTCACGAACGGATCTTTTGCTACGAAATGGCGGTAAAAATTGTCTGCATTCTGTTGCTGCTTGTTGCGTTGCAGTCCCTCTGTCACGCTGCTAACTCTGGTAAGAAAAAATTTCATACATAAGTATACAAAATAATTTTTTGTTGGATGATTTTTACAAAGTGACAAATTCTCAAGTTTTTATTATAAAAATAGTATTCAAATAATTTCATATTTTTAAACACCCCAATACAAGAAAATTAAATATCAAAGAAACTTGAAAGTTTATGGCTTAGAAGAGGTACATGATGATTAACCTAGCTGGTTTACAGAAATCGAAGAGTACAAGCAGGCCTACTACGATCGAAAGACCAATAAACCATCGCAAGGAATATCAGAAATCTCTGGTGGGCAAGTGCAGAGGATCTCGTTCAAGGGTGGCTCGTGCGGTTGCAGGAATGCGGCTTGCAGTTGTTGCATAGGTATAAACCTCAAGAAGTTCAAGTTCAACCAGGAAGGATGTGCCAAGATCAACTACAACCCACAAGCTTCTGCCATTACGGCTTCGTTGACTTTGAACAACAAAGCTGTCGTATCATCTAACATCCCAAGTAAGTTTACTCAATCCTTGTAGCTTTGTATATTGGTACATTAAATGCATTCTTAAATTACAGTAAATACTACTCCTTCGATATGCGGAACGGTTCCACAATTGTCCTCCGTCAAATTCTGCCTTCGTCTCTCTAAATTGAGCGTCGAATCAAACAAGTTGAATGCCTGCGTTGATCTGGAAACGCACGTACCTTTGATACCGACACTTGTGTTGCATTTCCCATGCATTAAGGTGTAGGAAATCGTCACTGAAAATGAATACATTGTAAGTATTATTAATACAGCCTATAGGGTGTACAATAATGGAAATTTTTAAATGGAAACTGAACTTCTTTCAGAACAAGTGCGAGTTCGGTTGCTTTAAGGATTTAATATTTCAATGAGACTATTGTATCACAGATATTCGTTGCAATAAAATTGAAATATCGTTGTAATATTGGATGTAAGAATAATTTGAATAAAGATACTTCAATAAGTTTACAGTGTTTGTACTTTTAAGCTGCGACCACATTCAAAATGGCGTCCGTGATGCGTTCATAGTTGATCTTAATCGATCGTGTAGAAAATAATAATTAAAAGACGAAAATAGTTTTACAATAGACATCTTTTTGAACAGTGCGGTCTCAGTTTTGAAGTAAATTCAAACACGAATGACTAAACGACCATAACCACACAACACTTCATTTTATAAAATTTTAGAAGTCGTTCGCATTCATCACGAAAGTCTTAACAAAAGATTTTGTAAAGTATACATTTTTGTACAGGTAGAATAAATGCTTTTATTCTTATTTTAAAAAAAAATTTCAAATTAATGAACTAGTAAATATCGACTGCCAAAGATTATGTTTGTTTTGGTAGCACAATAATATACTTCTAGATTAAAAACTTGTACGTAAGCGATACGTTTAGATTATTCACATGAATTCGCTGATGCAGAAGGTAGATGATGCATATGATTCCAGATGGATCTGCTGATTCTGCGCATTCAGAAATAGAAATGTTCAGGTTCCATGGCAGCCATAACTCCACTTGAGAATGTGACATACTCTTAATAAATTAGCCCTCATTTTCACCCTTAATGGACGCAACCATAACGAACTTAACAGCGAACTGTCCACTCACTAAACTCCTTACTCCTTTTTATACATTTCACTTAAATACAACTATTAAAGCTTCAACAATAACATTTGAAGTTTTCCAAGAAGCATTACTATCGAACAATGAATAACGTGATAAACGCACCACTAACTACTCTCAAGAAAAAGAAACCGTTATGTCGAAAGTAATAAAACAACTGACTAATGATCCTCGACACCAGCCACATCGAATTGCTCGAACAATTTTCAACATTGTTTAATCGAATATATGCATACGAATACGTAATCCTATTTGTAACTAATAATAATACTTATGCAATCAGTTATGTAATCAAGACAAGCTGCAACTTAATGTATTCTTTGACAACATTCATCAATATTGTTCTTTCATAATCCAATTAATTTTGTTTGCATTTCAAGTGACGTGCCCACAGAATTTCGACGCATAAATTAATAGGGTGTACAAATATAACGCCACGATATCATTGTAATTTCACAATTCGATCAGAAGCGATCGGGTGAGTAATCTTGCACCTTGGAGTCAGTAATGTCAACCAAACTTTTCTACGGCCTTTTACTGCTACTCGCAGTGTATTGCATCTGCGATGTTGTGGCTGCTGGTAAGCGTTTAGATATGAATTTGATTAGAAAATTCGGAATTGGAAGATTGAGAAGTTTGGGTTTGGGAGTTTGGGAGTTTTGGAATTTGGGAATTTAGGGGATTGGAAATTTGGGAGATTGGGAATTTGGGAGATTGGGAATTTGGGAGATTGGGAATTTGGGAGATTGGGAATTTGGGAGATTGGGAATTTGGGAGATTGGGAATTTGGGAGATTGGGAATTTGGGAGATTGGGAATTTGGGAGATTGGGAATTTGGGAGATTGGGAATTTGGGAGATTGGGAATTTGGGAGATTGGGAATTTGGGAGATTGGGAATTTGGGAGATTGGGAATTTGGGAGATTGGGAATTTGGGAGATTGGGAATTTGGGAGATTGGGAATTTGGGAGATTGGGAATTTGGGAGATTGGGAATTTGGGAGATTGGGAATTTGGGAGATTGGGAATTTGGGAGATTGGGAATTTGGGAGATTGGGAATTTGGGAGATTGGGAATTTGGGAGATTGGGAATTTGGGAGATTGGGAATTTGGGAGATTGGGAATTTGGGAGATTGGGAATTTGGGAGATTGGGAATTTGGGAGATTGGGAATTTGGGAGATTGGGAATTTGGGAGATTGGGAATTTGGGAGATTGGGAATTTGGGAGATTGGGAACTTGGGAGATTGGGAACTTGGGAGATTGGGAATTTGGCAGATTGGGAATTTGGAAGATTGGGAATTCGGGAGATTGGAAATTTGGGAGATTGGGGACTTGGGAGACTGGGAACTTGGGAGATTGGGAATTTGGGATATTGAGAATTTAGGAGATTGGGAATTTGGGAGATTGGGAACTTGGGAGATTGGGAACTTGGGAGATTGGGAACTTGGCAGATTGGGAATTTGGAAGATTGGGAACTAGGGAGATTGGGATTTGGGAGATTGGGAACTTGGGAGATTGGGAACTTAGAAGATTGGAAATTTGAGAAATTGGGAACTTGAGAGATTGGAAATTTGGAAGATTGGAAATTTGGGTGATTGGGAATTTGAGAATCCAAAATTTTTGACCATTCAGAATGCAAAAATCTAAGAATCTGATTTCAAAAATTTTATCATATTGACAATATTTCCTCAGATGATAAAGAATCGGCGTCCTCTGAGTCATCGGATGTCGAAAATGCGTTTTATCACCCAGAAACGAACGAAACATTTCCCCAACTAGCTCAACTCGCAATTTCCAACCCTTTCAAAGCGGTTTCCTTTTACGGTGCTAACTGCAACTGTGCAAACAAAGCCTGTGACTGTTGCACGGGTATAAGAATAAAATCGCACAACTTCGATAAACGAGCCTGTGCCATCGTTAAGTATCTTCCGCAAGAGATCGGTTTGGGGGCACAGCTGACTGTGGATCAAAAGCAGATCGCCTCGAAATCTGTTTCTCGTAAGTTATTCTTCTTTTTATTTTATTATACTTCTAAACTTTGGTATTATATTTTATTATACTTCTAAAGTTTGGTATTAAATTTTATGGGGTATTTTTGAATTACAGTGAGCAATCCACCTGCCATATGCGCACGCGTCCCTGACTTCCCGTTTGTCCAATTATGCGTGCACTTCTACAACCTTTCGAAGAATGGAGATCAAGTGCATGGTTGCATTGACTTGGAAGCTCGTGTGAAGAAAATCCGGGCGCTGAAACTGCATTTCAAGTGCTTCACTATTTAAACGAAATGTACTGAGAACTCTTATAGCACCGAATCATAGTTTTGCCACTTGGAATTGTAGTAGGACCTAGACTTCGAATTACAGGATTATTTCTTTGTAGTACTTGAGAAAGAAATGTAATTTGTATTGTAGTTAAAAATGTAGTGAATAAATATTAATCAAAAAATAATAATGTGTCATACAAATATTTTTAAGTTCCTAAAACCTTCAGTTATTATTGATTTTTCTAAATCGAATTATTCGAAGATTTATTTAAAAATTGGATGTACAATCAAACCTAAATTTCTCTGGAAAACAATGTCTCTTCAGAGTCATGATTTATCCAAAAAACAATAAATAAAATCTTTGACGTATTTCTTCATGTTCTTAATTCTTCACCTAATATAATTCATACTTTCAATTAATAAAAAAGTCAAACTTCAAAAGTCAAACTTTAAGATATGAATGAAAAGTCTTTCGAGTAAAAAGAAATTGTAGAATTCATCGAAAAGAGCACCTAACCTAACAAATTATAGCTTGAATATTCTACTTGACAAGATAAATGTACTAAAACTCTGAACTTCCTGTTATAAAATTTTATTTGCATTCATCATGAAAATTTGAGCAAACAATTGATTTATATACAAGAGAATTGATATATTTTATAAACAAATCTGTGTGTTTTGTAAATACTGAAATTCTTGAACATTTCAACATTGAGACATGCGTGTACTCGTATAGTTAATTTATAAGCAGTAAAACACTATGACTGACGTCAATTTCTTTATAGCCCACGTGTACAAGTGTACAGTGATACAAGTATTGTTATGTAGACTTCAATTCTTGTGATGCTTTGGTAACATCATCCATAGTGAAGCTATGGAAATGCAAATTAAACAGCTGAAGTTATAATTCTGAACACTCCTTAAATTAATCTTACAATCGTATATTTATATTTACACGTATGTATACTACTGTAGACAATACCCGGGTTAAAGGTAGGAAAATATAAAATAAATCAGAGGCCGAAACAACAATTTAACAAAATAACGAATACGGAGTGTGTTTAATGTTCAATGAATATCTCAGGACAGACTTTTGCGCGTCTTTCCTTCCAAAATAGATAAATTCTCAGGACTCTGAGAAGGGAGAAAAACAAAAAGAAAGGGGGTGACGTTTCTCCGAAATCGAAAATTTCCGCTTTCCCCTGCAGCGGTCATCCGACCCAAACCGGTGACCGGTGACCCATCCGACCCTCGACTTACAAATTACCGTAACAGTAATAAACCCAAGGATCGCCTCGACTTTTCAAACTACATGGTTCCTTGGTCTTTTATTACTGCTATGGCAAACCTTCAATATTCTAAAACACTCTAAAATCTAAAATTATGTCTACACTATATGTTATACTTATATGTACTATGTGCTAAAAATTAAAAATATTGATAAGTAAAATAATGGAGTTTCTATGTTAATCAAAGACAAGTGCAGACACGTTAAAAATGGTAAACGTAAAATGAAAAACTACCGAAGAAATAATAGTCGTTGATAACACCAAGTGAATTGTTTAAACAATTCCATTGTTAAGACAGACTTGTATTTCCAACACACACAAAGAAGTTCTAATTTCAATAACTCATTCAAAGTACTTCGATTCTCTTTAACACAAACGTTAATGAATTTCTTTGAATTCCATGCGCAACAAGTGTGCACATTGTTGCGCATGTATTGTTGTGCTAGGTTTCAATTGATCTTTCGAGTCTTCTTTTTTAATAACTTCTAATTTTTTAATGAATTAGGCACTGAAGAATCATATAAATATCCTCGATCACAAGCGAACTGCACATTTTTTCGTTAGAGTTGATCCGCTGCTAACGCATCTACCTCGCAAAATCATGTCAGCCAAAATTTTCAGTGTTCTCTGTCTGCTTGTTGCGGTATGCTGCATCTATGCTGTCAGCGCTGGTAAGTAAAATATATTTTATATAAATTCTTGGCAAATGAAATTCTCTCTAAGTTGTATACGCTATAATTCCACTTTTAATTTTTATTTCATTATTTATCAATTAAATTCATTAATTTCTCTTTGGAAAATTTAAAGTCTTCGTTGATGACTAAATAAGAAGTATAAAATAAGAAGTATTTATAATTTTATAAGAATTATAAAATAAGAAGAAACTTATAATAATTTTATAAGAAGTATAAAATAAGAAGAAACTTACAATAATTTTATAACAAATATAAAATAAGAAGAAACTTACAATAATTTTATAAGAAGTATAAGACAAGACGAAACTTACAATAATTTTATAAGAAGTATAAAATAAGAAGAAACATACAATAATTTTATAAGAAGTATAAAATAAGAAGAAACATACAATAATTTAATAAGAAAAATATCAATAACAATAATAATTTTTGTTAATCAGCTTCCTCGGAATACGATGACACCTACTACGACAAAAAAACCAAAGCCGTCAGTCAGAAGGTTGCAGGAACCGAATCCGCAAATCCATTGAAATTAGTTTCGTTCAACGGCGGCGACTGCCAATGTTCGAACTTGGCCTGCTCCTGCTGCACAGGTGTGAGAGTGAAGAAGCTTAAATTCGACAAAGAAGTTTGCGCTGTCATCGAGTACCTGAAACAAGAGATCGGTGTTGGAGCATCGATCAAAGTCAACCAGAAACAGCTCCTGTCCACCTCCGTCTCCGGTAAGTCTTCTTTCTTCCTTTTCTACCTAATTATTCTTGTAATGTTATAGAACAAGGTTTTACAAGGTGTATTTATATTTTTACAGTGAGCAACCCACCACCCGTGTGCTTGACTGTTCCTGACTTCCCTGCAGTGCAGTTGTGCCTTCGTTTCCATGACCTCCAAATCAGCGGAGGCAAATTGCACGCTTGCGCCGACTTGGAAACGCGTGTTACCAAACTGCCGGTACTGGCTCTGCACTTCAAATGTATCACAGTCTAATTCGACCAGCTCTTATGATGGTACCTTGGGAAAACCTTACAAACATCTTCGAACACATCAATTCTTTCTAACATCCAAAGAAACTGAACAACTAAAATTGTGATTCTTCAAACTTGTACGAAAAAGGTCTCATGGTGCCGTGAACACTAGAACCAAAATTTAAATGTACTATATATTTATTCAATTGGCATATAGACTTTCAAATAAATTTTACTTTAGCAAATAGACCACTTGTCTTCTTACTAATTCCACCGAGATTTACTAGAAAAGCAAATGCGGATGAACCAAACCTAAATTTCTCCAACAAACGAGGTCAGACCGAGATATCCGTTAACTGACCAGTCGAGCTTCGATCGTTCACCAAGAAACATCCAAAGATGCGTCGCGATTGAACCAAAATGCGGACCCTGTTGCTCTTCGCGATTCTCTGCGTTCTCTCCACGCAAAGGGTTAAGAGTGCCATCGATTCAAAGTCACAGATCTCTGTGAATCAGGCAAAAAGGGAATCGACCTTGAAGGAGTTGCGGGAAATGCTGAAGCAAGCGTCGAATTCGAGCTCGAACTCCACTGGCGAGGTGACCGTCACCAGACAAGGTCCCTGTCAATGCGGAGGAGGCCTCTGCGGATGCTGCTCAAAAATTCTGTTCGACTCCTGGAACCAGAAGGCCTGTGTGAACGTGACGTACGACCCGGACGAGTTCAGCTTCACTGCGAAAATTTTGATGAACGACAGAGTTCTGTATACGAGGACCGTCTCTGGTAGGTTCATGATCTATCGATAACATCATAAGTTCTGATATAACTGTTTATACTTTGTTAACACTAAACCTACCGACATATAATGTACACTTACTTCGAAATTAAAAATGAAGTTAAAGAATAAATATACAAACGAAACATAAATTAACATACACATTTATTCTTTATCAATGCTGATTTCAAGGAATGTACTTTACAAAATGTGCATCTTATAATAAGAAACTTGTGGAGCGGTCATTTGACTGGTTTGGTAGTTTCAACGTTACGTACTCAACTTTTAAAAAAGTTTCTTTCTTGAACAACTTTTATTAGAAATAAATTTACTGCAGAAAGAGAGCATACTTAAATTCGAAAACTCTTGATGAAAATCAATGCTGATTTCAATGAATGCACTTTACAAAATGTGCATCTTATAATAAGAAACTTGTGGAGCGGTCATTTAACTAATTTGGTAGTTCCAATGTTACGTACTCAACTTTTAAAAAATTTTCTTTCTTGAACAACTTTTATTAGAAATAAATTTACTGCAGAAAGAGAGCATACTTAAATTCGAAAACTCTTGATGAAAATCAATGCTGATTTCAATGAATGTACTTTACAAAATGTGTACCTTATAATAAGAAACTTGTGGAGCGGTCATTTGTTAGTTTTAGTGTTAAATAACCAAATTCGTTTTAGGGAAGAATCCCAGACCCGTGTGTGTACCAGTGCCAAGAATACGAATTATCAAAGCCTGCGCTCGATTCTACGACATCTACTTCCAAGGCAGAAACATTCACATGTGTTTGAACATGGAGGGGAAGTTCCAAGATACCACAGTATTTAAGGTAGTGACCCAGTAAAAGGGACCGCCCATCAACACGTTTTATGAATAATACATGGACTTCCAGGTTGGGTTAGATTGCATCAGATTCGGCGCTAACGGATTGGCTGTGGTCAAACCAGAGGATGGAGGTGGACTAGGTCAAATAGAATTCTTGCCAGGTGACGACGAGGAGGAGGATGAGGATAATGATGAGGATGAGGACGATTATGATTACGACGATGACGACGACGATGACGACGATTTGCTTGATTTCTGAGGAAATCTAAGATTCTGTTCGTGACAAGCACGAAAACACTTAACGAGGACAATTGCGCGCACCTACTGTCGCTTGACATTGGCGTAACTAGGTTCTTTGTGGTCCAAATACCCTGTCGATACTTTACGTCGAGTAGATTTTGGGGATGTAGATGTAGAAATTAGGTATTTGGGGATTTGAGAATTTGGAGACTTGGGACGTTTGGAGAATTGGGAATCTAGGGATTTGAAGATTTGGAATTTTTAGATGAAAGGAATTTGGGAATCCTGGGATTTGAGGATTCAGAATTTTGAGATGAAAGAAATTTGGGAATCCAGGGATTTGAGGATTCAGAATTTCGAGATGAAAGAAATTCGGGAATCCAGGGATTTGAGGACTCAGAATTTTGAGAATCCAGGGATTTGAAGATTCAGAATGTTGAGAATCCACGGATTTGAGGATTCAGAATTTTGAGATGAAAGAAATTTGGGAATCCAAGGATTTGAGGATTCAGAGTTTTGAGAATCCAGGGATTTGAGGATTCAGAATTTTGAGAATCCAAGCATTTGAGGATTCAGAACTTTGAGAATCCAGGGATTTGAGGATTCAGAACTTTGACAATCCAGGGATTTGAGGATCCAGAATTTTGAGAATGCAGGGATTTGAGGATTCAGAATTTTGAGATATCAGTTTGGGAATTGAGAAATGTGGAAAGTTTTGTTATCTGCAAATTTGAGTACTGCAGATTTGGGGATTTCGAAGAGACGCACTCTGGTCCCCACTTAATTATGCTAATCCGCTTAATGACCGCTAATATTATTTATTACATGTTCTTGTACGAACTGAACTTTTTGCCACTGAATTTGTATAGACACCATTAAAATGAATAAATTGAGTACTTATTTAAAGATGATATGTGAAGGGCATGATATGTGTGTCAGAGGAAGGAAAACGAATAAATAGATGCAATCAAATGCCATTTTTTATTATTCCTCAATAATTACGTCCTGTGAAGCAACCGACTCGAATCAGAGTTGTCCAGTGGAACACCCATCGTCGATCAGTACCATCGGGAGATGGAAACTGTCAGTGTAGATTAGTGAATGTACGAAAAAATATAGAGAAAAATTTTAAATATGAACAGAACGTGTGGTATCTTAATTACACTCTGGTTGTATTTGTTCTTTCAATCTTGTGGCACGGAAGAAAGTTAGTCTCTTCAACATTTGCTGTATCAAATCGTAGTCCTACAATCGAATAAGTTACAATATAAAATTATCCATCAGGGTTTTCTGCAACGAAGGGATTTCTGGCCTACAGAACGGTTTCGACGTTTCAGAAATATTGCACTTGTCCAACTTCTTATTCATGTTCTTGCTGTCAGAGTGTTTACATTCTGTTCACCAAAGCTGAGAAGAATCGTAAGTTTTATATCATTTTCATTCTTCCAATCGTTATAATATTTTATTATGCGCAGTTTGCGTTAATTTCACCTATCAGAGGAACGGTCTCAACATTAACGTGACATTGAACTCTGATACCATAAGAACCAGAACAGTTACAGGTAAACCCACTCCGATTGTAACAATTATCGATCTATTCTGGAACGTCTTTTTTAATTTCAGACTATAGGAAATTCAAATTCTGTACTAATATACCAGGTTGTTACTTCTCGACTGCCTGTGTGAATATTTTGGAACTCAATCAATTTCCCAGGTAGGAAATTTTTGAAAGAAATTTTTAAATCAGCTTTTGATTAAATATTTTGGAATGAGAAGGTCGATCACAGCTTGCCTACGACTGGATATTACATCCAAGAAGCGATTATGGCAACTGAATTACGACTGCGTTAGCATATCGACGGAGCTACCAATGATGCCGGCTAATGGAACAACGATGGCTAGTAATACAACGATGTCTGGCAATACAACAATGCCTACGATGAATACAAGAATGACAACGAGAGCAACTTCTGCGATGACTACAATGACGACTGCTGGAATGACAACGACAATGGCTAGCAGCCAGATGACGATGACTACGACAATGATGGCAATGAAAACCGTAGCGGAAACTGAAGAGACTACTATACCAGGAGATGTAGAGGTGATAACAACGCCAGACATTATGGATATTGATTAAAATGCAGAATTGTCTGATTATGTAATGATTCTAAATAAAGTAGCTTAACTAATTTATGGAGAGTTGCAATTTTAAGGTAAAAGCGTTAGTGTAACTAGGTAGGGTGGGTCACCCTCCAAATAAAAACTAGACTTCCAAATCTCTCAACTCCTAAATTTCCAAGTCCTTCATCACATATGCTCTGCACAGAAATCCCAGTTACACCAATGAGTAAAACTGTGAAACTATAACAATGTATCATTTTATAAATATTTATTAAAATCATTCTAAATACAAATAATCGATCATCGTTTCCTTTCATATTTCCATTTATACACAGGAGCAGCATTCTTTGTACCTTTACGTACTAATTTTGGTTTCTCAACTTTCCTATCTTTCAAAGCCCTTTGCATCTCCAATTTCTGTTGAATAATGGTTAATTCTCGTTCTCTGTCGATCCTCTTCTGCAACTCTTTGTAAGACATGTGCTTCTTCTGCTCAATCTTGCTCAATGTAGCTTCATCCAAATCTGGTATGTCCATCTCCTTTAATTTGCTTAACTTTGGTCTGTTCGTGCGTCTAGATAACAATGCTGGATGAGTATCTAGTCTTTCAGAAAGATCAAAGTTTCTGACTTCTTGAGAATTATCAAGGAAGAAGATGTGTTTATTCTGAGTTTCATTTGCAACATCTATCATGTGTAATTGACTCTGTAGTTTATCTATTTTCTTAGCTTCAATGTTTCTCTTGTGCGCAACATATTTGAGGTCCTGAGTTGCCATCATTTTTATCTGTTCTGGTGTATTATCATCGTTTTTACGCTTTTCTCTGTGTTGTCCATCCTGAATCTTGGAATTGATCATGTGGAAGTAGAATTCATCTGGGTTCTTGTTTAAAGCACGTTTTTGAAGAAGCTTCAATGTCTTCTCTTTACGCTGAGAATCTCTTGCTCTGGCAATGTAGTCTTTTTTCTTTTCTAGGAGACCCAAATGTTGTCTGGATTCTGGCTGGTGCCTTTCACGATGTGTCTTTTGCGTTGATTTTGCTGCTTTTTTCCAGGATGACATGGTTACTTATGTCTGCAAACAATGTTTTAACTTATTTATACATACAATAAAATAACACTAATATTATTGTATATATACTATTATGTTTAAAAACAGAATAACGTACTTAGATGCACTACAATATCAAAATTATTTCATAGAAATACAATATTAGTTTATTTCATAACCTACAACACTGGAAAGACAACCCGAATTGGAAGAGGTTAGGATACAAGGGGATTTAAATTGCGATGGAGCTGACATCTACAACAACAATGAAGAAAACAGTATTTAAAATTATGCAACCTTATGTAAAATATTGCTCTTTTATTAACAATGTGCAAAATTGTACAATCATTGTAATAATACTTTGTATCAAAAAAACAACAATATACAATAACAGTTAAAATATAATACTAAAAACATTCTGACTGATATAAAAATCATATAGCTTCCACGAGCTTATGTACAACTAAGTTCAATAATGCTGTATAAAAAAAGATCTAAAATCAATTGTCAAAATCCTAGTAAAAAAAGTCATTAATCAGTTTGAGTGGATTGATGTGCCCTAGATGGAAGGGGAAGAACCGTGTCGCCAACGGACAATGATCCCTGATGAAAAACTTGAGTTTCCGAAGAAACTCCTCTCGGAGATGTCAGTCGATTATTTCGCATTCGTGCAATGGGTTCTCGAGCCTTAATTCTGTACCACCCGCGTGGTCGTTTTGGGAGAGGGCTTCTGAACTCGAGTTGTCTCGGTGAGGAGGGTGGGTGTTCGATCGCGTCTCTTGGACGCTTTCCGGCTCTCTGTAAAAGTGACGGCAAACTTAACCCGGAAGCCAATGTCGAGGTAGACGGTCCTGATATATCTTCAGAAATCTGTGACCTTTCCACAGCCCTGGCGGTTCCTACACCTGCACAGCAAAGGATAAAATTACAGCAGACTTTTGAATATATTTTTTACTGTTCCTATAAACAGTGCCGCCATTACGAGCATTAAAAAAGAAGTTAAATAAATTAATTTGCGTGGCTGAGTGAAAATTGTAGTCCTATTAGACATGATGTTTGGTAAACTCTAATGACGGCTCCGTCTATGGTTAATAGTAATAAATAAAAATATACCAGGAAAGCTTTTCATGACATTTCTCACAGCGTTGGCGAACACAGACAGAATCCCGCCGGAGCTGTTGCTATCGTTGCTAATCGTAGAAGAGTTCGAGTCGCCACTAGAACTATTTGATTCAGTTGGCGATGAACGATACTTATGACTAGTCACGCTGTAATAGCTGTCCACTGACGTTATAGAAGTGCTACAACCGGCAGAATTGTGATTGTCGCTTGAAAGTTTCACGCTAGATGCAATGTGTCCCAGTTTCTTCAAACCAGACTCTATTACATCCGAAGTGGAGAGGGTGGAATTGTTCTCCACGACCACCATCATCACCACTCTGGAGGAACCAGACACCGTTTGGCCAATATTCACGTTAATATTATCAGGATTAAGATTTTCCTTCTCAGCATTCTCGATATTTTCCTTGTTAATTATCATCTGCGAGTTCTCCAGACACTCCTTCGTTTCGGACAAGGTGTCGCAGGCCTCATAGTACTCGTCGTTCGTCGTCATGTTCGTGGTACTCATCGTGGTGGACGTTGGAGGATTCTCGTACTGATCCGAAAATCGAACTCTCTTCATAGAGTCCGAACGTCTCTTTTGATTTTCCAACCCTTGAGAGTCTGGCAGTATTCTATTTTCCACTCCAGTCAACTCCATATCCTCCACAAAGTGATTATCATCGCAATGTTCGTTTGTATCAGTGTTCTGGCCGTTCATGATGTTCAGATTTCTCGAGTTGTTCCGCGGTAATTCGCTTTTGTTCCCGCGATTCGATAAAGCAGAGCGAAACGGTGTTTCTTCGTGGCTGGTCGTCGAAGGGAAGCTCACGTAGTTGCTCGTCGAATTCTCGCTCTTTGAGACGCTGTTTTGGAATCCGCTGTTAGGTGGATCCTTGTTCAAAGACCCGGAGTTGGTTTGCGGTGTTTGCAGAGAGAAATTCGGAACGTTCGGTGTTACGAAGTCGAAGCTAGTCTTCTGGGACACACCCATTGGTGTACTAGTGTTTCTGTAGAGTTCTGGAGGAGAAGTCAGTGAGCAAAGGTTTGCATTGCATTCGGATTCTTTTATTTCTGATAGCAATGGCGGTGTTCCCAGTGATTTCTGCGCGACGACCTGTGAATAACGCTGCCGGGCCTTCCACCACTTGCACGTGCCTTCATTAACAAAAAGTATTATATAGTAGTGTTACCATTGAATTTATGTGCAGTTGACAGGTGCAGGGTCAATTGCGACCAGGACCTCAGAAAATGCACAAAAATATTTCGATTAAAATTAAATATTAAATTTTCATACATTCAAAAAGTAATATTTGGAGAAATTGTTACGAGTTTGAAAACTCAAATCAAATTTAAATTATCGCATATTTTAGCGATCCACCGTATCATGTCAGATATTTACCGAACGATTCTAAATCCTTGCTCTGTTTGAAAATTTCACCGCACAAAGAACAATGCAGAGGCAGATGACTGATCACTATGTGACAAAATAACGATGTGTCTTCGATGGGTTTCAACGGAAGTTTCTGAGACGTGCAGAGTGGACAGTTCAATTGCCGATTCGCGTGTTTGTTTTTCTCGTGTCGATCACGACACTCCGTGCAGCAGAACAATTTTTTGCAGACGCAACAAACCCGACTTGGCTGTTCAATAAAAAACGTTTAACAAGAAAATTTAATCGTACGATCTTCCTCGAAATACGGAGGAGTTTAGATGAAAAATTTTTGATAAATACCTCGGGTGGCCTCATGCTTGGGCAAGGTCGTTGCGACTGGGACGTTTCGGTGTTTACTATCTCATTGTAGTCAACACGCTGTGAAGTACATAATAAAGTATACGGTGAGTATGCGTTTATGATAATAGAAACATGGTTTCCGGTATTTGACACCGTTTAAAATTATTCTCGAGAATGATACAGTTCGAATAATGTTAATAACCGGCGAATAATGAACTATGTTAAGGGGTGAAAATTAAATATATGAATTAAAAAAAATTTTAATATATGCGGGAAATTGAATTATTTGAATCAAGCGCTATGATTGATTAAGGCTACCGAATAACAATAACTCTTCTGAAATCAGTATTATATTTAAAAAATATTATAATAAAGTGGTCACTTTTACAAATTATATAGTACAAAGTGATGTGTAAATTTTTATACGTTATCACTAACTTTATTACTAGATTCGTCAGATAGTAAAGTGGACATTAATTCGTTAATTCCTAACACATCCTCACTGTTATCATCTTCTTTACAATCTACCTGTGTAATTCTACTTTCATTTATTTCTTTACGTTTCTGCTTTGCTTGGTTTTTAAAGTCCAAAATGGTCATTGAATTTAGATTGTCTATTGCTACACTAACATCAGGTTTTCTGAAATCAGTATCTCGATTTCCCATTAATAATAATGCTTCTTCGTATGGTGGAGAAATTGGTGTCTGTACAGGTCCATGATACTTGTATTCCTTACCCTCATACTAGAAAGAAAACGGAAATGATAACATAGAAGTTAATTCTGTATAGAAACTGTAGATGTAAATAACTTACATCCAGTGGATAACAGGTATCAGAGTCAGGTTGACTAAGATCACCGCAAACAACAAATGGAACAATGACTCTATTAATTCCTGTAAGCTCGTTAAAATCACACGGCTTATGAGTTAAAAGAGGATTCAGCATGTGAGGTTTATAACCCTCCGGTGGTGAGTAATCTTTGCAGACCACAAATGCCTCTATACTGGAATTACGTGAACTGCTGGGTTTCGTGCAGTAAACATAAGGGAAAAATATTTTTAACTGAGAGTATAGCAAAGATACATCTTTGGCCCGAAATATTTTTGCTACAAATGTACCTCCTTGCCTAAGTATATGAGTAGTAATATTTAAAGCAGCCAATAGCAACTGCGATTGAATATAGATATCCATGTCATGCAAACCTGTAACTATAAATCAATCGACAGTTATTTCTACTGATGCTTACTATCAAAAGTAATATATCAATTAACATTTACCATCAGGTGCTCCATCGCAAACTACCAAATCAGCATGCTCATTATCAAAATGAGCAATAATCTGCTCTGCTGTTTTCGTGTTTGTAATATCCCCTTGAATTTGTATAACACCTTCCAGTGGTGCCATAGCTTGCAGATCAACAGCGACTATCTTTGGAGCTGTCGCATCACCCTTTTCCAAAGCCTTCTTGTAATTCTCACTGGATACAACAAAAATAATGGAAGATTTAAACATTTTGCAACACAAGATTTCTTAACAAATAATCTTATTGTATACTTTAATCGTCGCGATAAAACCTGACTCCAACTCCCAGGTGCCGCACACAAATCCACGGCTTTACTCACTCCTGTTACAAAACATAAACAAAGAATTGCATTTTACACGTATAAACAATACAATCATTTTTACACACGCACCGTCCAAGATGTGACATTCGTTATCTATTTGGAGCAATTTAAAAGCACTCCTTGCTCTCCAGCCCTCTTCTTTTGCTCGACGATAATATATGTCTCTTTTATCTTTCGATGTTTTTCCCATGGTTAATCGAACTGTGTACAATTAATATTTATTTGTTTATACTTTGCATAGGTTAATTCGAACAAACGTGGGAAAATTGGAGGCAACAGGTGCTCAAACTTGATGAGTAGTGAAGGGAGTATAAGGAGAGTGTTGGTATCACTGGTGTTGCGCCAAATTTAAATTCAGAGTATAGTGTACGGTCTTATTTTATTGGAAAATTACTTTCTTAGAAATTTGAGAATTTCTAACTTTGTTAGAATAATTAAGTTTCATCGCTATAAACACTAATAACAATTTTGCAATTCATGAATTGAGAAATAATTGTCATTAACCGTAACAAGATAAAAATTACGATCGTTTATTTTTCCTCCAATTTCTGCACTCTCACGGGTCTCAAAAACATTTTCACGAGCATAATACAACGTCATTAAAAGCGCAATAAAACGACGCGCATTAAAAACCATCTCTTTCAAGTGCAAATTTCATCGACCTTCTATTAAGATCAGTAAACGTGTTTTCCGAATAATCGACTAAAATTGCGACAGTGACAGAACAATCATAATTCCAGATCTAGCGATGATGTATCGCAAGAGATATTCGAAAATTGCTCGTTTCTAATGTTCTACATAAACGTCGTAAATCTTCCGTGTATGAGAAAAAAAAAAAACGGAGAAACAATGTTTCATTCTATTCTTTGCTCTGCATTCGATGACATGTACCGATTACGGCTACCGACTAATGACGTTTATTCCATCATTCGTAAAACGGATTTTACGTTAGCCTGAAACACAAGTCGGGAATGGTTTTACGTAATCGCATATTTGCACATTCCCACGGAACATCGCTGGTTCCGCTTCGATTCCATTCGATCGAATGTTTTTCATTTTGAAACGTCTTTTCCCTGTTCCAGGATCTTCAGGACATTCTTTCCTGGTTTTTCTAATACTTGAACGTCATTAATTTATTTCAGTTTTATTTTTGATTTGAGTTTTTAATTTTCTGTAGGTTTATTTAACTACGTGAAAACAGATCTTTGCAGGTTTCACCGAAATCTCTGTTTATAAATTTCACGCACAATCAAATAAACGGTTCCTACATCCGATCGTTGCAAAATCTATTTTCCACCGATGGCCTTTTTGAACTTTCGACGCCCGATGCGCCGTAATGGCGGACGTCAGACGTCGGTTGTTTTTTGGTTCTTCCATCGAGAAAAATTTCCTTGATAACCGTACGCAAACACAGAAACAAACAATCGGATCTTGTCGATCACGAACGTGCTACCATCGAAAACGTGTTCTTTGCCCTGATAAGATATGCTTCGGGATAAGGCAGTGTTCTTTGCATAATGCACAAGCATCCTTGCAACAGAGGAAACCGGGTTTCTAATGAACCTACGGTCCATGAATTTCAAACGAGCCGTTTCTTCAGTCACCGATCTTGTCGCCGATGCAATATCTCGTGATGCAACATCGTTACATATCTTTATACGTATTTAATAACAAAACTTCTTCCACCAGTGTTTTCTAACGATCCTATTTATCATCGATTTACGAAGACCTTTGGTATTTAGCGCACGCGATAACTTGACAAGCACGGCGACAGGAATGTAAATAATTTCGATGGAACTGCAATCTTTATATGTCACCATTATCACGGTAATCGGCGTCACTGCTCTTGATCCTGTCTAGCTTTAATTAGCAGAAAATCTTCAGTGACGTTTCTGAGACGAAAAAGAATACAAGGACGATCGATTGACCCTTATTAGTCGGGCGCTTTGGCGGACATTTTAGATTCGTTACGGAAACGTTTGCTTCAAGATTTTAGTTTGGTAGGGAGGAGTTGGAATTTTAGGGTTTCGGAGTGTGAAATTTTGAGTTTGGGTGTTTCTGAAATTTGGAGGTGGGGGTTTGGGAATTTGGGGACTTGGAAATTTGGGAGATTGAAATTTGAGAGATTGGGAATTTGAGAGATTTGGAATTTGGGAGATTGGAAATTGGGAGATTGGAAATTGGGGAGATTGGGAATTTGGGAGATTGGGAATTTGAGAGATTTGGAATTTGAGAGATTTGGAATTTGGGAGATTTGGAATTTGAGAGATTTGGAATTTGGGAGATTTGGAATTTGAGAGATTTGGAATTTGGGAGATTTGGAATTTGAGAGATTTGGAATTTGGGAGATTTGGAATTTGAGAGATTTGGAATTTGGGAGATTTGGAATTTGAGAGATTTGGAATTTGGGAGATTTGGAATTTGAGAGATTTGGAATTTGGGAGATTTGGAATTTGAGAGATTTGGAATTTGGGAGATTTGGAATTTGAGAGATTTGGAATTTGGGAGATTTGGAATTTGAGAGATTTGGAATTTGGGAGATTTGGAATTTGAGAGATTGGAAATTTGGGAGATTAGAAATTTGAGAGATTGGAAATTTGGGAAATTGAATACTTGAGAGATTTGGAATTTGAGAGATTGGAAATTTGAGAGATTTGGAATTTGAGTGATTGGAAATTTGAGAGATTGGAAATTTGAGAGATTGAAAATTTGAGAGATTTGGAATTTGAGAGATTGGAAATTTGGGAGATTGGAAATTTGAGAGATTTGGAATTTTAAAAATTTGGAATTTGGAACTTTGAAATTCGCTAATTACTTAATTTAGAAATCACAGAATTCCTAAAATGAAATTAACCTTGAGTCTCACATTTTAAAATTGTATTAATCCGTTCCAATGCCACCGTCAATTTATCAGTAACATATGTGTCACAAATTCCACAAAGTGGTAGCAGCTCTGTCTACAAGAACCCGATTAAAAACATATATTCATTTTCAAGCTGTTGAATTACTCCACCTATTGATAAGGATTAATTAAACGTCGATCAAATCGATCGATTTCGAAGTAGTTGTACAAAGCCAGCACAGAATACGTTTACTCAGATATCGTTCGAGGGATTATCGCGAGTCCACGCCAGAAATAGTGGCCGCTCGTTTACTGCTGCGTTAACAATAGTTGTCTCTCTAGCGAGGCTTTATTCGTGCGCTCCTCTCATAGAGTTTGTCGTTCGCAAGAATTACATAATGCTCGTTGCAAATATTGTACATACACGCGCAAACTGAATAATCGCGGCATTAACCAGCGAAATATGCTGTTATGTCGTTGCACGTTACAGCATTGTATGCTTCCCTAAGGAAAATTACGATGTGCAGGCAAAGAACTCTTTATTCTTTCATTTCTGGTTTGTCAGTTTACAAAATTATATACTTAGGAATTTTAGAATTGGTAAAAATTGAAATTAGGGTACAAGAAAGTTTGATAATTTGGTCATTTGAAAATTTAGAAACCCATAACTTTGAGAATATTTTTCAGAAATTTGAAAGTTGAAACAATTCAAACTTAAGTCCACAACTTGCCAAGATCAAAAGCAAGCTTCTTCCTAATCTAAAGGAAGACATGACCTGACATGACCCGAGTCGAAAAAGTGTACCTTAGTAACGGCAATGTAAGAACGGTAGTGACCCCGTTCGCCAGGATACCGGTCAATTGAAATTCTAAAACGTCTCCGTTATTTTTGGCCCGACTCTGATAAGATGAACACGCCACTAGTTTCTTCAAAAGATATTGGCTTAATACATTTCATCAACGGTGACCTTAATCGAGCGATTTTGCAACGAGCGCCTTCCCGTGCGTTGGGGCACTTTGCGGGGCAGAAATGGACGTCTGAAAGAATTCATTCCGCGATTCATCCTGCATTTAATAACCTCCCCGCGAACGTAATGGCGCGTTTAGTTCGCTAAACCGAACGAGACCATCGATCTTCAAGTACCGGCTGAAGATGGTCGTTTGTCATTCCGCGGAGGATCGAGGAAAGATTTCTATGAAGTGGACGTGCGGACGAAAACACGGCGCTAAATGTACGAAATATTATTATGCACGGTACAGAGAAGGTCTTCGGCTAACCCTGACACTGTTTTCTCTAGGAAGCACACCGCTTTGAATTAATATCGCTTGACATTGCCTGGCCAATAAAGTACAACTGTAGGAAACACAATTATGCCGACCTTCCGCGGTGTGTGACCGGGGAACCTCGATGGTCGAGCTTTTTCCGGTGGTTCAACCAACGATGAATGGCTGGCTGGTCAACAATGTCAGCTGTCAAACTGACAACGTGTCGTAGTATTACGCTGTCTGTTATCGAGTTTAACGTCAAAGCAGTAAGTGCCTATATCGTTCGATACTGTCATGGCGCACTCTTTATACGCACGTGCCGAGACTTACAAGTAGTCGACGTGTCAACTTACTAAAATTTTAATTCAAGTTAGTGAGACATGTTTAAAGATTCGGTCTTGTAAGGGTATCATAATATATTTGTGGAACATCGATTACTTATTAATAAGATTCTTATTGTTGTATCAAGCTTCATGTCAGATCCATATTTTGTTTAATATAGTTTGGTAACTGTTGGGCAATCATGTATTTGTCACTGAAGACATTTTCTCGGTTAGATAGCATAATCTATGTCAAGTGATATGTCAATATTAGTCAAACATAAAACGTTTCTTAAACAGAAAATACGTCTCTCATGTTCAAAA